GGTTTACCCTGAGTTCCTCTGCCTACAATTTCTTAGCATGTCCTTTTATGTAATTGTTGGTCTTTACATGTTAATACTTTGGGGCTTTTGGAACTGTTTCCTTCCTTCCTTCCTTCCTTCCTTCCTTCCTTCCCTCCTTCCCTCCTTCCCTCTCCTCTTCCTCCTCCTCCTCCTCCTCCTCCTCCTCCTCCTCCTCTTCCTCTTTCTCATCCTCTTCCTCTTCTCCTCCTCCACCTCCTCCTCTATCTTTTAATGGTCTATTTACATAATTATTTAATAACATTCAATGGCAGTATAATTTTTATGTTTGGATTAGTTATGTTCTACCATTTTACGTTTGCTTCGTCTATTTTTCTTCAGCTTCTCTTGCAATATTCCATTTTAATCAATGATATCATTTTGATTGTATCTTTGTGTAACCTTTCAGTAGTGAGTGCCTCAGTGACTAAGAATGTATACTTTCATTTTTCACAGTGCATTTATAAATTATGTTTTATGTGTTAATTCAGTAGCGTGATGGTTAACTTTAGTTGTCAACTTGACACATTTAGAGTCACCTGGGAAGAGACTCTCAATGAGATGTTGTCTGTATTGGGTTGGCCTGTGGGCAGTCTCTGGGAGATTAATTTATGTAATTGATGTGCAAAGACCCCTTGTGGACAGCATCATTCCCCAGTCAGGAATGATGACCTCTATGAGTCTAGCACTTAATGAGCCACAAGCAAGTGGGCATGAGTGTTCTCTCTCTGCTCTTGACTGTGGCTGTGATGTGACTTGCCTCTTCAGGCTTCTGCCATTCTGACCTCTGTGCAGTGCTGGACTGTTCCCTGGAATTTATAAGCTAGAATAAGCTTTCTCATTGCATTCCTTTTCATTAGGGTATTTATTACAGTGACAGAAATGCAAATAGACAAGTGGGAATAGTGGTTCCTTTCCCTTTCCCTTGCAACCAGGAGTGTGTGTGTGTGGCTGGGTATTGAACCCAAGAATTTGGATGTGCTGAACCAACACTATCACTGAACTATACTTTCCCAGCATTTGACGAGCTTCTTATTTTCCTTCTGTCCAAATAATTCCTATTTATTTATTTATTCACTTATATTGACTTGTTTCTTTTTTCTTTCTTTTTATTTAAATTGCTTCTTCTCAGCCTTTTGGCTTAAATCACATGTCCTTTTTTGTTTGTTTTGCAGTGCTAGGTTTCAAACTTGGCGTTATCCACATGCAGGCCAAGGGCTATATTGCTCAACTACATCCTCAACCCTAAAGAAAGTTTTTACTATTATTATAACTGTTATTATGAACTTGTATATTTAAAAAATCCCTTAGTAAAATTGGCCATACTAGAAGTCTGTCAGACACAAAAGAATAGCCATAAGAATAGCAATAAGTTTAGCAATGGTTTGTAAATTAGTAGCATTTTAGTGAAATGGCCTTGTTCTGTAGACAGGGGGCTGGTCCTGAGGGAGGCTTCCCAGGGAGCTTGAATCTCATACATGGACCACTGTATAACCAGCAGTTCCTTCAGATCAATTCTTCTAACTGTAAATTAGCATTATTTATCATATTTGTAGAGGATTTTGCATGAGATTTGGATGGTTTTCCAATATTACTGCCATTGTTTCATAAAAAAAGTACTTTAATCTTTAGCAAGATCTTTAGTTTTGTTTGCTAGTGTTTTGGTTTGTTTCAGGGGGGTAGATTTTGGGTTTGGTTGGTTTGTTTTTTTGGCTGGTGGAGGGCAGTACTCGAGACCAAATCTAGGATTTTGCACATGCAATGCAAGTATTCTGCCATCACACTCTATCCTCAGCCCTGGCAGTGGATTTGAAATACGTTCGCGTTGTGTCATCAGGTGTTTAGAACACTGAACTTCTGAGGGATGTCCAGTAGAGACCTGGATGCGATTGTAAAGAGATGGAGCATTAAGGACAGAGGGCTCTCTGGAGACTAATTTCACAGTAGTCACTAATGCATGTTTATAGTGTTTTTCATTTATGTTTTATTGGTGTGACAGTTTTCGCCTCTCAGTTCAACATTACAACTGCTGAGGTCTCTATTTAACAGTTGCGCTTACATATACTACTGTACAATAATTGGTACTGTTTAAGGTTAACCTTTATTCTTTAGGAAAATATATTAACAACAGCGATTTCAAATTGTACCTAGTAAGTACTTTCCATTAATGCTAATACCTATGATAATTTGAAAATGTAAATAATATTTCCACTGGCTTTTTATTTTATTTTTGTGTATGTGTATGAATGTAGGTCTATACTCAGATCAGAGGACAACTTGGAGTAGTTGGTTCTCACCTGCTGTGTTAATAAGGCAGAGCCTCTCTTTTTGTTTTCTATAATTAAACATTAAATGTCTACAAGAGCAGAAAAGTGTTGTATCCAGTAAAAGCACTGCATTTCATAGTCCTGAATTTGGAGCCCAAGTTTCAGGAATCATGGGTGTTGAGTGAGTAACAGTAACAGCATGCACAGTGCACAGTGCTCTTGTGCTTCCAGAGGTTGCATCATGTGATTGTGGCTGAGATTTTGAATTAAGTATTGGCCATGTGTGTTAGAAAATACTGCAAGAGTAAATGTCTAATCTTTTAACTTATCTGGACCACATTGTTATATAAAGCTAATACTTAAAAGCTATGCAATCTGTTTTACAAAACATTGCAGAAAAAATCCCATAATTTCGTAATTTTGTATTGGACTGCATTTATATAGCCATCGACTCTCCTTAAACTCTGTGGATAATTGTATTTTTTTAAAAAAATTAGCTCACATATAAACTACGGTATATAGTAGGTTAGAGGAGGTACCAACTTCATGCCTTACGACTGTAGAAACTGAGTCATTAAAGAAGTTTTAAGTCATTCATGGAGTTAAAACTCAAAGCACTATAATAATTTTTTTGCCCTTAAAAAGATCCAATTCATTTCTAGGTATCTGTGTGCATACTACACATTCACACACACACACTTTTATATTCTCTGCTGATTTCAAAGACTCTGATGTACATTAGTTATCCGACCTAGATCATACTCTGCTCTCAGGTGTGCCCTGGAAGAAGCCTACAAATGACTAGCCCCGGGCACAAACTGACTCATTCCCAAATACAGCTGATGGAGAAAGTGGGATTATCGTACTAGAAATTATCCACACGCTTCAGCAACACTACCAGTTATCCAATTATGTACTTTCTCTTCCTTCAACATACAATTATGTTTAAAGTTTCTTCAAACTTGAAAGAGTTCTTAATCCACTTTCCCCATCTATTATCTTGTATCAGTGTATGGTAAATGTACTTTTATACTCATTATCTCCATTTTCCTGACTGTCAATCATTTTTTAACCTTCTATAAATCTGGCTTCTAAATCCAGTATAATCTAATTTTTTCTAGACACCAGCAGTGTCAGAAATTATACAAATGGAGCCTTTTGTGCAATCTTTTAACATTTTAAAAATTACTTCTAAATAAACCTACTTCATTTACATATATATGTGTATTTCTCTAATAAATGTAGGAGGTTTACTATGGAAAATTAAAAGAAAAGCATTAAACATTTATGAAGCTAACCTTTGAGAACCTTACATTTTAAAGGAATTATCTCCTAAATAGCCTTTTATTTGTAAGCATGTTTTTATAGAAATGAACATTTCTACAATTCTCATGTTTTCACTTACAGTTATAGTTTCAGCTCCTTCTCATATTCACTAACACACAAGAACAGATTTGTGGAGGTGGGTGAGGTAGCTCCTGATAGAACATTTGTTTGCCACTTCATAAAGGCCAGCATAACTAACATAAATAACCGAGGGATACATGCAATACTACAGGGAGTATAAATTAGCAAATTGCTTTGGAGATTCAGAATTCAAAAGAAATACCTAATATAAGGCAGAAATTGAAGGGCTCAATAATAACTAGGAAAGAGAACTGGAAACATCTGCATTTGGCTGATAGTAGGCAAAAATAAACTCTAGTTTGTTGACTCTAGTGATTGATCATAATCAACTGGACTAAGAATAAGGTCATGTTGTAAAAAGAATGGGAAAGTCAAGTTCAGGAAGCATTTGAGGTAGTTTTGTTCCACATTAAGTAGTTACTCAAATGTTACTCCAATAAATTCTAACTTTTGTAGTTCGAAAGAAAAAGAATAGGTAATGGAGTATCTGTTGTTGCTCTTGGAGGCAGGGTCTTGCTGTATTGCAAAGACTGACTTTGAGAGTTCCTAGACTCAAACAATCTGTCTGCAGTCTCTGTTTTTAAATAATTATAGTTGGACTTAATTAGACGTCAGTTCTCACTGAGTTTACATGCCATCGTGGTCGTAGAAAGTGCCAGGGCTTGTCAGTGTAGTACCTAGAAGTGGCCAGTATTATCCAAAAGAAAGAAATGGCATGTGGATGCCTAGGTGGAAGGGCAATGTAGCCCCACTCATTCCTTAAACTTAGTACATTAAATGACAAACAGGGAATCCTGCAGAACCTGGCATCTCTGTATGGAGGCAGGCCCAGCTCTTCCAGAGGAGGGAAGCCAAGGAACAAGGAGGAGGAGGTCTGCTTCCCGCATGCTCATGCCTCCGCCATGCAGCCATTTTTTAGTTCATCGCCTTCTTTTCTTGCATGGTTTAAATGCTTAACAATTATTTTAAGATTTTGTAAGTCTATAGGAACCTGTTAATATGTTTTGACTGACATGCTATGTCATAATTTTGCCTCATAACTGTTATAACTCAGCCTTCTGAGTTTCAATTTCTTTTCTTTTGATATAATTTAAAAATTTGTTAATTATAACATATTTCTTTCTTTGCAGAAAAAAGCTTTAAATTAAATACTTGAAGGCTAATATTTCATTTCATTAACCAAATTTCAGAACTTTTGTTTTTTGTATTCAGATTAACACTTTTCTATATATTAAGATTTTTTTAGCAGTAAAAATATTCATAGATTTCCTTTTAAGTGAATTTTTGTTGTTGTTGTTCCTCTTTTAGGTTTATCTAGCAAGACTGAGGCAAATAAGACTACAAAATTTCAATGAGCGCCAACAGATTAAAGCCAAACTTCGTGGTGAGAATGTAGGTAAAAATCAATTTTTCAAAAATAATTCAGTAATAGATTAACTTTAAACATACCATTTCCATAATATTAAAAGCTAAAATTGTTAAAAGAAAATGAAGGTCAAAGACCAGAAAACTATATGTAGGAATGAAGTAAATCTTAAATACATGATTTCAAATTGGTAAATCGTTTGTTCCATAGGAATTTTAATATAGAACATACCTGATGTGCCTGACGGAATTAAAGGCCACTTGCATCATTCTTTCCTTGTTTTTTGCTCTGGGGGGTTCAGTTGCAGCTCTGGGAGAAAACTGACAGCAGTCAGTGGTTTCATTGCACATGTTGTTGGTCCAGGCAGAGGTGGCACTGAGCCTGGCTGCTGTTTGCTAAGTGGTATGTTGACAATTGTTCTAGAGCGAAGCTAATGGTACCAAAGGGCCAGAAGCAATTGAAGAGGCTGACTTGAGGCTCAAAAAGATGGAGTCACTTAAGGTATGCACTAGATACCTTAGTAAGTATTTTAGGAAATTGAAAGCTGAGAGAGAAAAGTTTGTTATTAAGTTTTTTTTTTATATAGATGGATCATTATCTTACTTTAACTTTTGATTTCCCATTTATCTGTCATCTTACAATTTCTGCGAAATAGCACTTTTTAAATTTGTACAACATTTATGAAGAACAAGTAGGTGAGATTATGATGTGAATACATAGAACTGTGACACATGTAATTCTTTAAAGTGGGTTACTCCTATAGTGTGAGCATTCAGTGGGCCGAGGCAGGAGGATAGCCATAAGTTCGAGGCCAGGCTGGGATATATACATATAAATTGCAAGACACTGTCTCAAATGAAATCTACAAGTTTTTGTAGATATTTGTAACAGTTGTCTTAAGTGTTTACATTTTAATTTCCATTCCAGTGTATTGGACTTATGGCCAATATCATTGATCCCCTGTTGTCCAAGGTTTGAGGGGTACAGAGTGAGTGTCCGTTTTTATTCTGGAACCACACACATACTTCTTTGCTTAGACCCAGGTTGGAGGATGATACCATGGCTTTCCTTCTCATAACTAATTGTGTTAATGGTTTTCATTTTCAGGCCCAGACAAATGCCCGTGCTGCTGTCCTAAAAGAACAGCTGGAGCGAAAAAGAAAGGAAGCCTATGAGAGAGAAAAGCGGGTGTGGGAAGAGCAGGTAAGGCTCCTTGGTTCATGTCCTTGGGCTCTTTTGAGGATCGTCAAGTGTGCCATGATCAAGCCATAGCAACCCTTTTTTCTGATTTTTACTCACTTTCCTTTCTCTTTTCCTCCTCCTCAGCTTTCCTTTCCCTTTCCCTTTAGCCCCACCCCACCCCAGCACCCTTTGTCTTTCAAATTTAACGATAATCTGCCACTGATTTATACTGCTACCTCAAAATCTTTTAAATTCTTATAAATGACCTTCTAGCATATGTGCAGAAAAACTGTCTTCCTGTGGGTGTGTCCTCTGCTGGGCTCTTCTGCCTGTTCTGCTGATACCTCACACATGGGTGATTGTAGGGTAGAATAAACTTTAGTTTCTTCATAGGACTCTTCCTTCCTTTGGCTTTACCATCCTTTTCACAGTTCTGGTTCTTTTCCTTTCTTCATGTGCTTGTTTTTTCTTTGTTAGGGTGATTTTTGTTGCTTTAATCCTGTTGGAATTTGTATAGATATAACATTATTAAACCTATAAGTTAAATTTAAGAAATGATGTGTTTATAAAGTTTCATCCAGGAACATGTTAATTTTAGGTGTCTATTCATTATTTTATATCATAATTTTTATTATATAAGTGACTTGAAGATCCTTCATATATTTTGTTTTCCATCTCTAACAGAATATTGCTTGTATTTGGAGAAATTGTAGATTTTTGCCTATTTTTAGGTCATAGTAAGTTTCCTGGTCTGTAATTTTCATTTAACTTCGTGGGATCTTAGAATGCAGTCTTGTCATGATATGCTGCCACAGCTCCTCCAGTTTATTATACAAATGCAGGCATTTGTAACTACTGTGCATGTGTTGTTTTTCTTTAATTTTGACTACAAAGCAGAGAAAATGCTTATATGAAGTCACATTTACAGTTTCAGTGAGAACTGGTTTGGCTCTGGGTTCCCAGGTGCCATAGTCTTAATTTTTACACATTTTTTCTCTGCTTTCTATAATGTCAACTTTTGTTATTATTGTGTCACTTGTTGTATTAGCTAGACTCCCTTGGACAATGATAAGTAATAATAGGGATGACTTGTTCTTGTTCTTAACAGAAATGGTCCAGTATAGCACTGCATGCTGTGATAACAAGAAATAATGGTTTTATGTCTCACTCAGTCAATTTTTTTCAAAGATTATGAATGGAAGAGTCAGAACTCCAGAGCTCAGAAATAAGACTAAGAACTTCTCAATAAATTCTCTTTTATTTATATCCAATATAATTTTGGTTATAACTTTTCTAAGTTCTTCAATCTTTGCTATTTATGTTTTTCTCTTTAACTTCAAAACTAAACAGTGGAGAACTCACCTTCACCTTGTCCCTTTTCTGGCCTAGATTTCAGCCTTAGCACAAATAAGACTTGACTTATTGTACATACACTCCCATCTTTTCAGACACCTAGGAATTATTTCCTGCTCCTCTGGCCTTTGTTTAGATTTCGTATTCGACTCATGTTCTTAACATAATGTTCCTTGTTTTTCCTCTCAGATATAGTATTAGTATAGAATGGGTATGAAGCAATAACTGATAAGTTAACATTTTTACCCCAAGAACAAGAGAATTTTTCAAAAGTATATCCCATCCTTTTAATAGAACCATTCATTTCGTGTGTTGCCCAAATCTCTTCCAAACTTACCTTGCCCTCAGAAATAGTTGTGAGCCTACTTCTGGTGCATACGTACCCAGTGATGGGAAACCAGAGTCTACATTATGTCTTCTAGGATTATGTCTTCAGCACAGGAGGCAAAAGCCCAACTAGTACATGCTGCCTTTCGTATTATATCAGGACAAGTTGGTGTAAAACTGTGTGTGTATGTGTGTGTGTGTGTGTGTTTTAAGTTTTTGTCTTGGTGAACTTATTACCATTGTGTCCAGGTGCAGTATCACAATTGCAAGTATTAAGGTCATTGTTTTTCCTTTTTAAATTAATGCTTAGTAATCCATTCTAACATTTTTCATAAACCATGACGGTGGGTGGAATAGTATTGTATCCATCAAATATAATGAACTTATATGTGGTCCAATTCAGCCTTATTTTTTTAAAATGCTGAGTTCAGACAAAAGTCTCATGGAACATCAAATTGTTTGATAATAGTTGACATGAGCTTCACTTTTTGTTTCCCCCACAGTCTTGGCTACTGGGTCAGCTACTTAACTGCTCCCATCAATATGCACACACAGGCCCTCTTTAGCAGCAGGCCTCTGCTTGCTTGTTTCATTACCTGTGTTCCCCCAAGGTAGGGTGAATGTCTGTGTCTCAGTTCATCCTGTGACTGGCATAGCTCATTATCAAATATTGTTTTTCCTAGACCTATAGGCCCTACTCACTCAGAATTTTGTGCCTTCATCAGCCCAAGTTCATGTAACTCAGAAAACACAGCGTCAGATTAGCTTTGTCATGATGATGATGATAATGATAAGGAAGATAAGGAACAAGCGGATATATTTGTTGTGAATTTTATGACTCAGCTTATTTCAAATCTGTATAGAGGATTGTTCAAGAAACATTTGTTTATTGATTATAGCCTAGTATAGGAGGAAAAATGTGTCTGGAATGAGACATCTGACTTTTGGTCTCAGTTCTGCCAGCTGATAGTTTGGATTTGTTCTTCCAACAGAAGTTTAGCTGTGATGTATCCTTAGGTGCTACAGAAGTACATGCAAAATTATTCCATATTCAGGATATGAAGTCGGGCCCCTTTGGCCTGGTCCTGGCATACCTACTCATCCTCCCTAATCCACATATAGAAGTGGAGTGATGGCTACCCTTCTGTGACTTAAGACTTGAGAAATCCGTAGTGATTTACATTTGAAAAGCTCCTCCATTTTTTTTTTTTTTTTTTTTTTTGATTACAGCTTTACTTTTGTCTTTTGGTGCTACCACTGATTTAAGTTTTCAGCACATAGTGAAATTGAAATAGAAAATAGAAAATCTTGTAATGGTAACTGAAAGTCTGTGGAGGTGTAAGTAATGTGAAAATGTTTCAAATTTGTCAAGCTTGTGTGGGCATGGCAGGGATGTGCGCTTCTATAGATTTATTTTAAAGCCTGTCTTCCAAGAGTCAGGGATGTGGCTCAACAGTCAAGGCTTGCCTAGCCTGCCTAAGCTCTGGGTTCGATTCCTAGTACCATAAGAAAAAAAGCTTCTTATCTTCATTATGGTACTTTGTGCCTGTATTCCCAGCATTTAGGAGCCTGAGACACACTTTGAAGGCTGTGCTGGTCTATGTGCCAGCCTGGGCACATGCATGCGCATGCACACACACACACACACACACACACACTCATATATACACACAGTAGGCAGCGTGTCACTCTCAAATCCACATATATATGTATGTATATATATATATATATATATATACATATATATATATATACACACATATACAAACACATACAAAAATCTGACTTGTGAAACTTTCAAGTAAATGCTTTAGTCCTGTTGAAAGGTTTTCTATTTAAAATTGAATGAGTTTTCTAAAACTATACTGAGAAGGAAGTAAATATTCTAGACTTAGCCCTGTGATCAGTTTCATTGGCCATGTGATCAATTTCATTTTAAAAAGTGACTTTTTGATTTTTGAGACTTCATTCATGGGTTTCATCTTATATAAAATTTTATTTTTGGTTTGTTTGTTTTGTTGTTCTTTTTTTTTTTTTTTAAAGATGAACTTTTAATTGGTACTGGTTTATAGTCCATGGTCATCATGGTGGGAAGCATGGCGGCACACAGAGAGACATGGTACTGGAGAGTAGTTGAGAGTTCCATATTCAGAGCAGCAAGACAACAGGGAGAGAGGGTGACACTGGACCTGGCTTGATCATCTGAAATCCCAAAGCCCACCCCCAGTGACACACTTCCTCCAACAAGGCCACACCTGCTTCAACAAGGCCACACTTCCCAGCAGTGGATATGTTTATGTATATAGGAATTATGTAGATAAGAAAAACTTAATTTGTATAGTTCTGAGTATCAAGTCCTTCCTCATAGTAGACAGCTAGTCTACCATTGAATTACATCCTAGCTTGAAAGAACTTTTTAACAAGTATGGGTAAATGTGGATAGGGGGATAACTTAAGTGGCAAAGTTCCTGCTAGGGAAGCCTAAGGGACTAAATTCAGATCCACAGTACTGACATAAAAGCTGGGCAAGGCTGTGCACACCTATTATTCCAGTACTGGGGAGGCTGAGGCAGAAAGATCCTTTGGATTCACTGAGCAACCAATCTAGAACAAATCTGCAGGCGGCGCAGTGAGAGAGCCTACCTACCAAAATAAGTTGCAGAATGATCGAGGAAGGCACGTGACATCAATCTTTTGCCTTCATACATACACAAAAATCATTATGACCAAATTAAGTATAATTTGTTGAGGCAGTGAGAGTATTGGTCTTTCTTTCAAGAATTTCCTTTATGCTCCTATTAATAGGTGACTGCCCAATAATTTCAAAAATAGCTTTTAAGATATTCTTTTTTTAATGTTTTCTTTATTATTTATTATGTATACAGTATTCTGTCTACATGTACACCTGAGAGGCCAGAAGAGGGCATCAGATCTCATTATAGATGGCTGTGAGCCAACATGTGGTTGCTGGGAATTGAACTCAGGACCTTTGGAAGAACAGGCAGTACTCTTAACTGCTGAGCCATCCCTCCAGCCCCATAAGATATTCTTTAAGACATATAAGGAAATGCTTAACATCCTTAACCATCAGAGAAATACAAATCAGAACAACTCTGAGATTCCATCTTATACCTGTAAGAATGGCCAAGATAAAAAACACTGATGACAACTTATGCTGGAGAGGTTGTGGTGTAAAGGGAACACTCCTGCTTTGCTGGTGGGAGTGCAAGCTGGTACAACCCCCTTTGGATAGCAGTATGGGGATTTCTTAGAAAAATTAGGAACCAACCTTAACAAGACCCAGCAATACCACTTTTGGGTATATATCTAATGGATGCTCAATCGTTCCACAAAGATATATGCTCAACTATGTTCCTAGCAGCATTGTTTGTCATAGCCAAAACCTTGAAATACCTAAATGCTCCTTGATCGAAGAATGGATAAGAATATTGTGGTACCTTTACACAATGGAGTACTACACAGCAGAAAAAAATGACATCTTGAATTTTGCAGGCAAATGGATGGATCTAGAAAACATCATCTCAACTGAGGTAACGCAGACCCAGAAAGACAAATATAATATGTATTCACTCATAAGTGGATTTTAGACATAAATCAAAGAACCCCCCCCCCCACACACACACAATTTACAATCCTAGAGAACCTAGACAACAATGAGGACCCTTAGAGAGACATAACTGGATCTAATCTATATGGGAAGTAGGAAAAGACAAGATCTCCTGAGTAAATTGGGAGCCTGGGACCATGGAGAAGGTAGAAGGGGAAGAGAATGAAAGGGAGGGGAGCAGAAAAAAATATAGCTCAATAAAAACAATAATAACAGAAAAAGCTATTCTTGAAATTCATGAATAAGTTGAGAAGGGCATTTGATGCTATTTTCCTTAGTGAAATTGTTTCAATACTTATTGTAACTTCTACTTAATTATTCATACAACTATATTACTTTTTGATCCTTTTAAATCATAGTTTTCTTTGAATTTCATAAGGTAAGGTATTCGACTTGTGGATCCCTGTTTCTTGTGAATTCTGTTCTAAACCTCCAGTGCACTGCCTAAACTTCAAACTCCGATTATACACATATGACTTTTTGTTTTTGTTCTGCATTCTTAAGATCAGAAACTTGGCTTCTGCAAGTTAATTCATCAGTAATTCAGTCTAAGCTTTTGGTGCTTATGCCAAATGATCTTATTTATTTGTTAAAGGTTAAAGCAATAATTGCTGTGTGCTTCACACAACTTATTTCATTTGATCTCTTCAGAAAAGAGAAAATGAGGACATCACTCTTTTGTTAGAGGAAGAAACTGAATCTCAGAGTCCAATGAAAAATCACAAGAGTATTAAGTGTGAGTTTGAGACCTTGGGTGTAGGAGTGTCCGACTTTGACCCTGAAGGGCTGCTGAGGCTCAGGGTGCCTTGGAGGCTGCTGTCTTCAGCACCTCATCTGACTTACACACTCAGTTCTTGGTTTTTGTCTGCTGTTTCCTTCTAGTTCAGATCAGGTAGTGTTTCTCAGGAGTACAGTCAGTTACTTCCCTTTCCATTGCAGTTTGCAGCCTTTTCAAGAGAACCCTGCCTCACTCATTATGGTCTTCGTCACCTAGATTGTTTGTACAGATAGGAACTCTCAGTTTGTTAGTAGATATCAAGACCTATGAATTTGTTGACTCAGAAAGAATCACATTAGAGTCATGTATTGAAATTCTAGGAAATATTTCTTCAAGAAAATTGGCACAAGATTCTAGAAATGTCACTATTTACAACCACGGTGTTTCTCAGCAGTTCTTAATTTTGGTTTATTGGTATCTGCCCCAGTTTTTATAGAAATCACTTAAAACTTTTAATATATTCTAAAAATTTTGATGTTATGTAGGACAATTTTAGAATTTATTCTGATTCCCATAGAATTTGAGAGGCCTTTAATATACATTCTTATGTTAACAAAACAGTTTCAAATTATTAGCATATTCCTTCACAGTGAGAGTACTTGGTTGTTATGAGTTCTAGATACTTTAAAAATTTATTTCACATCTTGAAATCAGTATAATTAATAATGTTGGCCATATCAGTTGTGCAACTGTTTAAATACATAGATACTGGTATAATAAAAATTGGAAGTCTAAATATTAGAATTACCACTTTATTCATAGCTCAGTTGTGGTGCCATTTTGTTTGTGATTCTAAGAAATAAAGCTTGTCTGAAAATCAGAGTGCGTAGCTAGCCACTAATTAGCCATAAAGGCTAAGCAGTGGTGGCACCATCTTTAATCCCAGCACTTGGGAGACAGAGGCAGATGGATCTCTGTGAGTTCGAGGCCACCGTGAGATTGATTCAGTGTAAAAGAGAAACAGAACCAGGAGGTGATGGCTCTCCCCTTTAATCCCAGTACTTGAGAGTCAAATGCCTTTAGTGCCAGTGCTAGGGAGGTGGGGACAGGAAAGGATATGGCTGGGAGGAGAGAGGAATATAAGGCAGGAAGAAACAGGAGCTCAGCCCATTCAGTCTGAGGATTCTTGGGGACAGGAACTTGCTCACTTCAGTCAAGTCACTCTGTTGGCTGGCTCCCTAATACTTCTCTGATCTTCCAGCATTTGCCCCGATATTGACTCTGGGTTTTTATTATTAAGACCACTACACTCTGTAACAACTACCTGAAATATATACTTACTGAAAGTCTTAGTAGTCAAGAAAGATTTGTAGTTGGGAGCAACTCACTCTGTGCTACAGCAGTACAGCTAATTCCACTGCCTCTATTTATTTCAGAAGTTTACTGTCTGAGAGCTGGAAAGATGGGTCAAGAGTGTTCTTGCAGAGCACCCAAGTACAGATCACAGGACCTGCTTCAAGCAGCTCTCAACTTCCTGAAACGCTAGCTCAGGGGAACCTCTGGGGTCACCTCAAATGCACAAATACAAACTATAATAGTAAAATTTTCAGCTCACAATATTTATGCTGATTAGAGTCCCAATGACTAGCACCTGATAAAAGTGCACTTGTGTCGAAGTATGGGTTTCAGGCTTTAAGGAAACTACAAAATTTGGGAGAAATTTTAGAAGCATTTCTTTCTGAAATATAAAATTAATAAACTACTTTTACATTAAACATTGTATTAGATTAAAATGAAGCATTTCTTTCTGAAATATAAAATTAATAAACTACTTTTACATTAAACATTGTATTAGATTAAAATAACATAATGGTATTATAAATGAATATTTTATATGACTCTTACACATTGTTTATGTGTGTGTTTATTATTTTTATGGGTATGTGTGTATGCTTCTGTGAGATTATGCGCACCAAGTGTGTGCAGGAGCCCATGGAGGCCAAGAGGGCATTGGATCTCCTGGAACTGGAGTTGACAATGGTTGTGAGCTACTGTATTGGTGCTGGGAATTCAACACAGGTTCTCTGCAAGAGAAGTAAGTGCTATTAACTACTGAGCATTCCTCATGACCCTTGAAGACTTTTGGCGGAATCATTTTATGAGACATTGCTCGAGCAGTGGTAGCCAGTTTTATTTAGGACTGCTTGTCAGACACGTGGCTGTATTTACACATGCAGCTGGGGATTTCTGTGTTCACATTCTACCAGCATGTATCATAGTGTCCAGCCCAGTGAGGAATGAAGGAATTGGAAGCTATTTGTACTATGCATTAGAGATATCTTGGGGCCTTTTATTTCTCTATGAGGATATGAAATCCAGTGTTTTTAGCTGTGTATTCTGTTTCTTGCAGTTGCTGGTGAAGGTAAGGAGCTCAGATATTTCTCTACCTTTGGAGCATCAAGAAACGGGGGGTTCTCCATCAAAGCAGCAAATGAGACCTGTTATTTCTGTGACTTCGGCTTTGAAAGAAGTGGGCCTGGTAAATTTCATAAAATTTAGAGTTCCTCAAAGACTACAGATCAATTTAAGCGAAAATGAATTTAATGGATTACATTGGTTTCTAATGCCTCCTTGTTGTTTCCTAGAGTAAAAAGATTGTCTTCTGGATTTTTTTTTTTTTTTGGCTTCCTCTGAATTTTGGAACTTTTCTGCCCATAGATTTTTATCTAGGACTCAGTTATAGATAAATATGCCTTGAACACTCTGCTTTTGAAGATTCCCTATATACAGAGCTAATCAATTTCAGATCCAAAGTGTTTGAGAAATAAAGTCATGTTTTTTGCTGATGTGCTTACCCAGGCCAGTACTGATGGCCTCTGTAGTGCTGATGTTCATGCTGTTAAACCGTATCACAACTGTTTTCATAGCATATCTGTCTGTTAGGTTTTGTAACTAATTTAGAGACAGTTCGTGGTATGTGCAGGATATCATATGCTATATGCACTTAACCATTTTAAATATGAGAATTGAGCACCTGTGGATTTTGGCAAGGGAGCAGAGAGATCTTAGAACCAGTGTCTCACAGATGCATGCGTATAGAAAGGGCATTGTGTTGAAATGACTCTCTGATAAACTAGTAAGATGGCTCTGTGGGGAAAGGAGCTTGCCACGATGTCTGGCGATCAGAGTTTGATCCCTGAGACTGACCCACATGGTAGAAGGAGTGAACAACTCCTACAAGTTTTCTTCTGACTTCCATGTGCATGTAATTGTAGCAGCAGCAGCAAACATACACACACACACTAATTAAATGTAGTAAAAACATTTGAAAGCAATATACTGAAAATAATGTGGCAAACAGTTTTGTACCCTAACCCTCATGATTGGCAAATTTTTAAAGAATAATATCTCTTATAGTCCTTAAAGTAAATAACTATAGAAATGAACTCTACACCTATTTGAAATTTTGTAACATGGGAAGTGATGTTCAATGTAATTCATTTTTTTTTTACCTTCTACTTCTGTCTCTGTATGCTAGCTATATAGATAATAAAACAAACAAAAATATGCGAACAAGCAAAAGTTTAAACTTGTAAGTGTGCACCAGGTTACCTGTCTAAAAAGACCGTTCTGGATGAAAGGAATGGCTCCGAATGTGGAGTGACTCCCTGGGTTAAACTGCTCTGAACACAGTCTGCTGAGTCCTACAACCTAGGAACCTCTGTTTTCCTTTCCCAGTAGCTACTGTCTGTGACTTGTATTTGTTGAAATTCTTTAGATGTTTTTCATACTGCAGAGATTATTGGTTACTACAGAGATTTTCTGCAGCCTTTGTGCTTATCTTGAAAATAAGGCAGAGTATAACGCTCTATGTCCCTGTTCAGAGCTTCGTGTAAGAATCTGTTCTCCCAGTAGTTTTTATCTCTTTCTGATAATGACTTTGCATGTGCCGCATTGTTTACAACTTTAGATTCCTTGTGTGGTTTCCTTCCTGGTACCCAGTTTCACATCTCCAGTACCTGTCATCTCTGACTGCTTTCCTGGGTAAAATCCTCCTTGTCTCATTTACATGTGTTACTGTAATTCTGATCACTATGCTCTTATGTTTTTCAAGTCTTAGAAATCTGTGGTAATCATGTGACTAAATCGTTTTTCTTATTGTTGTGTTTATAGAAACTGCTCATTTAAAACTTTGAAGATTATTTAGTCACACTGTTATAGCCTTCATAATAACTAATCTTTTTCTTTTAATATATTCTTAAATATTAAGTTTTTAAGAATATCTTTATACTAATCAGAAGAAAAGTTAAGAATCTGTTTTTACTTCTTTCCATAGATAAAAAAGCTACTTGTTAATTGTGTTTAATGCTTTGTCTTAATGTGTATGTAACAAATTTGTTTTCAAAATAACACAGCTTCTCCTGAATTCCTTTATCTACCAACACAATCCCTGGGACTAAGACTTTAGCTCAGGTGCTAAAACACTTGCATGAGGCATTCAGTCCCCAGGATCCTTTTTTTTTTTTTTTTGGTTTTTCTAGACAGGGTTTCTCTGTGGTTTTGGAGCCTGTCCTGGAACTAGCTCATTTTAAGACGTAATTATTTTATGCATTTGGGTGTTTTGCCTGCAGATATCTCTGTGCACAGTGTGTATGCCTGGTGCCCCAAGAGGCCTGAAGAGGGTGTTAAGTTCTTTAGAATTGGAGTAACAGTTGGTTGTGAGCCACCTTGTGGGTTCTGGGAATCATACCCAGGTCCTCTGCAGGAGTAGCAAATACTCTTAACCACTGATCCATATCTCTAGTCTGAAGAACCATATTTTTTTAAAAGCAAAACATGACAACCCTTTTCCTAACTCTAATAAACAAAGTATATGAATTTCTTTTCATGCCTGTCATTGACTTTAAATTATCAAAAGTTAGATACCAAAGAAGACAGAGATAATTGTTAGCAGTCACCCACAAACATGACAAATAACTGAGAATTCACACACACACACACACACACACAAACACACATTTAACTTATTAACTGATTGATAATGTTTAAATGTTCATCATTATTTATAATGACAGAAGCCGTGTTAACATTTCACAGCAATGAGAAAAGTTCACAGGGGTTAAATTTCAGTTAAATGAAAAACTGAAAGTAACAAAAATATCAACTGTTTCAGAGTCCTAAAATGGTTTTCTCTTACTCTTCAACCGTCTTGTGTTTAAAGGATGGAAATTTAACTGAAACCCAAGAAACTTCAGAAGAAATGCAAAAGAGCAGCAATGCTGTTTCAGTAAGTACAGTTTTCAGAGACTCTGTCAGGCTCTTATTTAATGATATGTTCACTAAAGTGTAACTATTTCAGAGCAAGCGAGAAATACTGCGTAGGCTAAATGAGAATCTTAAAGCTCAGGAAGATGAAAAGGAGAATCACCATCACTCAGATTCTTGTGAGGTCGCTGGCCACAAGGATGCCAAGGAGTATGAGAAAGAAAATGCCATTTCCTCTGATCGCAAGAAGTGGGAGGTCGGAGGTCAGCTTGTGATTCCTCTGGATGAAGTGACACTGCATACATCCTTCTCTGCCTCTGAAAGTATGTATGAACATGTCCATGTCCTGTCTTGGGTTAGCACTCACGTAAACTTGTGTCCTGGCCATCCTAAGGAACCAGCATGTGGATGGGTTAAGAGAGGTAGAAGAAGTCTGTGCAACTCCCTCATGGGCATATGAAGTATCTTTCAGTACAATATAAAGACATGAAAAATGGTTTGGTTTTTACAGTAGCAAAAATTTTTCTGTAAGAGTGTAGTGAGAGTAGAACTAAAGATATGTATTTAAATTGTACTGTTTGAACCCTTTACACCATGTCAACCTGTTACATTCTTTGTTCTTGTTGTAGTGAAAGGGGTTCCTGGTGGGTGACACAGTGTCTCAGTATGTATCCAGCACTGTCCTTGAACTCATGGTCTTCTTTTCTCTGTCTTCTCAGTGCTTAAGTTACAGATATGTGTTTCCCAGCTTCCCCACTTTTGGTTTTATGAGATAATCACTCATTGTATAAATACCAAGCTGGTCTTGAATTCATAATCCTCTTGCCTCTGCCCTCTGAATGCTGAGTACATGCCCAACTCTACCAGTAGTTTCTAATGAAAACAAGAGCAGTGAAAGCTCAGAAGAGCCCCTTAGACCTTAGGAGGAGTTCAGGAGGTTTAACTAGAAAGAATTCCTAAGCACCCACTGTGTTCTCACAGGAATCACGGCCTTCATTGTCTCCTTACCATCTTCCCACAGGAATCTTGGCCTTCATTGTCTCCTTACCATCTTGTCACAGGAATCACGGCCTTCATTGTCTCCTTACTGTCTTCCCACAGGAATCACGGCCTTCATTGTCTCCTTACCATCTTCCCACAGGAAACATGGCCTTCATTTTGTTCCCCTGTACATGCATGACTTTTTTGGTGTGATTGCTATGACATTTTATCTCTTTATTTTTCAGAAATTTGGTATGATTTTATGTGTATGGGTGTTTTGCCCACATGTGTGTCTGTGCACCATGTGCATGCTTTGTGCCACAGAAACCCGAAGATGTCAAATCCCCTAGAACAGGGTTCCATTGTGAACTGCCATGTGTGTGCTCTTCTGCTGAACTACCTCTCCAGCCTATCGATTATTATTCCTCGTTATGTTTAGTTTTGAATAGTATGATTGTGAAGTATCTTAGTGTACTTTTCTTCCTGTTTCCTCTCCTTGGACTTAGGAAATTCTTCAATATATAGACTTAAATCTTTTGTCAAATTTGGAAAACTTCACCAAACATTAGTTTTTATTTGACATAATTTCTTTATTGATTCTTTGGAAGTTTCAAGTCATGAAACTTAATTCTACTCACCTCCCAGTCCCCCCATATCTTCCCCTCACCCCTGCAGTACCCCCCCAAAGAAAAACATTTTTAAAAATCAAAATAAAACATGCAAACGTAAACAAAATAAAACAAAACAAAAAACCCTCTTCACTCCCCCATCATTCCCACCTCTCTAGCACCCCTTTATTCATTCTGGTGGCATTAGGATCTGCAGGTGTCACCCGGTTACCCTTTTGTCCAGTCAGCTTTCCTAGCCGATGTGCATTGCAAGAGTCATTGGTCTGATCCACTGGATTCTCACTGAAGCTCCTCTGGGATCCTGTAGATATCCCACAGGACCAGTCCTTTCATGAGTGCCGGCAGGTCCCAGATGGAGTAGATGTTAGGGTGGGTCAGTCTACTAGGGCCTCTCCCGTCAGGTGAGGGGGCAGAGCCAGCTCCCCTATGCCCAGGCCATCAGGCCCAGTTCTTCCTCGTGGGTGGGGCTAACTCTTTCTTAAGTGTCCAAACATTTTTTAAATATTCTTTCTCCTTTCCAGTTTCAGGCTAATAAAGAGACCCTGTTTCTAAACAACAGCAACAACACACCAAATTGGATAGCAGTACGTGAGAAGCAGTAGCCAAGGCTGTCCTTGGGTTTCACATGCAGTGCACACACGCACACTAACATGCACATGCAGAAGGGTTAGGGATATATAGAACAGAAGAAGAATATGGTTTAGCTCAAAAGGATAAGCAGAATATTTCTGAAAGATAGATGAAAAATTGAGGACTATATTTTATCAATGTTTATCCTAGGAGAGGCATTGTGAGCTTGAGGAAATTAGTGTCATAACTATACCAAAGGAATAAAATCCATTTTAAAGGTAAATGGAAGGCAAGGAAGTACAAAAAGTATATCTGTTTTATAGGAAGTGAAATGGAACGGGTGGATGGTGTTACTAGATAGGGATGTAAAGACATTGTAACCTAAAGAGATTTGAAATTAAATTTTAGTTTTGTTTTGTTTCTCGAGACAGGGTTTCTCTGTATAACAGCCCTATATGTCCTGGAACTAGCTCTTTTAGACCAGGCTAGGCTGGCCTCGAACTCACAGAAATCCACCTGCCTCTGCCTCCCGAGTACTGGGATTAAAGGCTATGTCATCATCACCTGCCTTGAAATTAATTTTCACCAATTATGAGGAAAAAATCTATCATGTCACTATGCTGTCTTCAAGCTGTTGATTTCCATTACAGCTAGAATACAGCCCACAGCCCTTCATGATCGGGGACTCGGCTCACCCTCTTAGTTCTTCATGGCACTCTGTCCGTTTCCTTTGCCCTCACTGTGAATGGCTCACCTATCGATGTGCCGCACTCTTTGTCTCCACAACTCCTCAGGATTTTTAGATGATACTTACTCCCTGCTGTCTGATTCTGAGAGCTCTCTTCATAACATACTTTTAAAGACATGTTCGTTTTTTATTCTAATTCTTCTCCTGTCCTTGCTTACCTTACTTTTTCTTATCAGTGAACACAACTACTCAGTCACGGAAGACCTTCATATTGGTAAATTCAACAGCCTGATTTTATAGTTCTCTGTATAATCAGATACATATGTCTTTTTCTTCCCTTAATGAATAATAAACCTCATTCATTTAAGTTTTTATTTAGAATTTAAAGTAATGAGTTTTTTGTGGGAGTTTCATAATTTATTTTCATTGATAATCAGATGTTTTTTTTTTCCCTTAAGTATGTTGTTTCCTTTTAACATATAAGCTTTTTAGCTAAGCTTGTCTGACATGTACCACATGTTCTGGGCTTTCTGTGTGTGTGTCACTCAAATTTTATACAGGAAAATAGTTAATAAATAAATAAAAGGACACACAACTCCTGTTGTGAAACGTCTGAGGTGGGAGACTATAGCCGACTTGGCTTCTGGAGCAGAGGTTCTCAACCTGTGGTTCTCAGCCTGTGGTTCTGAAGCAGAAGTTCTCAACCTGTGGTTCTGGAGCAGAGGTTCTCAATCTGTGGTTCGAGGCCCCTTTGTGGCCTTGAGAAAACACAGATACTTACATTATGATTCAAAATTACATTTATGAATTAGCAACAAAAATAATTTTATGATTTGGGGTCACCACACCATGAGGTACTGTATGAAAAGGCTCCACGCAGCATTAGGAAGGTTGAGAAGCACTGCTCTGGAGTAATAATAGACCACTGCCACTGTGTAAGGTCAGTAGCGGGCCAGGGTGAGAAATACATAAGCTTCCTGGAAAGGGTTATATAGACCTGTCTGGCATGGAACTCATTGAGTTCCTGCTTCAGAACTTCTAAGTCCTAGGGTTCCAGGTGTATATATCACCATGCTCAGCTTCTCTTATTTCTTAAGAATCTGGGAAGACTGATCACAAATAAACCAAAAACACAAGAACTGGGTGATCAGTTCTGCTTCTTCTTTAGGCCTGGAACAGTACTTTCCTAAAACATGAAGGGCAATCCTTCCTGTTACCAGGTACTTGCTGACATTAGCTTGTTTATCTTTCTGAGTACATTCAGATATATGTGCTTATCCATGTTTGTGTGTATATATAGATTAAATAAAGATATATTTATTTAATGTATACACGTGTATGTCTATACACATATATGCACATATATCCATGTATGTGTGAAGGGGCGTGTTCATATATAATTCTCCCTTTATATTGCCTTATTGATTATATGCAGTTTTATTTGCATTGTTCTAGATTTTATTTTTAAGTGTATTTTATGGACCTTTACTACTACTACATTAAAATTCTCTTTATGTTTGTATATCTCATTGTGTTATATCTAAATTCCTAGAATTTCATTATGAGAAATTTCAAACATGTAGAAGAATTTAATAATTTTGCAGTAGGTGTTATAATCATCCATTTACCTTCTACCATTAGTGCTGTCCATTGTATCTATCCTGTACTCATCAGTCTTATTTCTGACATAACTCAGAGTCAACCGCAGACATTGGTATACTTTCCTGTACTTCACAGCATAGAGTCACCGTCAGAATTCAGTATTTATTTAGGTTTTCTCCTTTTATGTTATTTTAAGGATAATGATTTGTACATTTGCTGAGTTCCAGCAAATGCGTGGACGTATTTAACATTAATTACTAATAATAGATAGCGCATTACCATCACCCCAGGAAGTGTCACAGCCCTTCCTCAATCAGACTTTGACTTTTGTCTCCCAGAGACTCTTTGTCTGAAATTTCCCCACCTTATATTAGTTATTCTGTTTCTAGAATGCCATGAAGCCAGCCATGTAAGTTTTGTGTTCTTTTGTTTCTGGCTTCTTTGACATATGCTTTTTGAGAGGCATCTGTATTGTGAGCTTTAATTTTTTCTTTTAAAGATTTTTTTCATTTTGATTTGGTTTTGGTTTTTAGTTTTTTGAGTCAGGGTTTCTCTGTAGCTTTGGGGCTTGTTCTGGACCTAGCTCTTATAGACTAGGCTGGCCTTGAACTTACAGAGATCCACCTGTGCCTGCCTACTGAGTGCTGGGATTAAAGGTGTGTGCCAACCAACTCTTTTAAAGAATGTTTTATTGGTATAGTCATTTTTATATTCTTTTGCTCAATGTTAGATTGAGATATCTATCCCTTTCCCGCATTCAAACTGTTTATACATTTACATTTAGTGTGTGTTTGCTTTTTCAGTCCACTCCTAACACCTAATACTTTTATACTATTTGCATTCTACACAATTTAACTGTACCACCTTGCTTTATCTGTGATTTTTTCTCTATTTCCTCTTGCTTTCTTAGAGTTCATTACTCTGATAACTCACTATTTGATTTAGAGTCCACAGTATATACTTTTATGAACTCTATTTTCAAATGACTTCAGTGCTTAACCTATATATAGCAAGCAGCATTATAACAGTCTTGCACTTTCTTCCTTCCTACCTTTGTGCTAGGATTGGGATGGGTGAGGTAATTGCTTTGCTTATATTTTTGCTATAAAATTCATAATCTAGTTATTAGTTCTTAGGGACACGTAAGCAGTAAGTGAAATGGTCCTATGTGTCTGCTTTGTGTTTACATTTTTAGTGCTCTCTACCGTCTGGCTCTGTTTCCTCTGCGTGTTGGCTTCCCTTTAAGAATTGCTATGCTTTAATATCACTAATGATCGGTTCCTTCAACTTGTATATGTCTGCAAAAGTTTACTATGCCTGCCTTCACAAATATTTGTTAAGAGCTATGGAATTAGCTGATACTTTTTTCTATTCTACTTTAACAATATTTCTCCACTGCTTGCAGCGGGAAGTCTTCTGTAACAGTCAGTCTCAGCGGTTCCTCTGGATGTCATTGTCCTCTGGCTGCTGCTCTGGCTTTTTCTCAAAGCCCTGGTTTCAGTGAGCTTGGTGGTGACATTCCTTGTTATCACATCCTTTTGCTAGTGTTCTTGGACTTGTGAGTCATAACTGTCACTTGTATTGGAAAATTCTTTGCCATTATTTTTCCTGTGTTCTTTTGGACTTCTCTCCTACAAGTCCAGCACCAATCTTTTTTCCCCTCCTCCTTTTGGTAGAGGAGGTTCTAGTCCAGAGTCTCTTCATGCTGGGCAAGTACTCTGCAACTGAGCTGCACACCAGCCCAGCTTCCCTTATTTTGTCCCTCCCATGGTCAGTCTTCTTTAGTTGAACCCAAGGGAGCCCAGCTATAATAATCACTACAAATGTCCTTCCCCAGTGAGTAATCTCATCATCTCTGTCATTTGGACATTGGTTTTGGTTGGTAGACCATATTATACTTGATTATTTTTGCTTAGGGACAAAACACTGAATTATAATTTGTGGAAGTTTATGTAGTTTTTATATTTCTATAACTACTCTTGACCTTTGTTCTGGGATACACTTTGGTTAGTTATGAGTATCTTGATCCTTTTAGGCCTTCTTCTTAAGTTCTGTGAAGTGGAATCAAGCAGTGTTTAGTTTATGGTTAATCTTCCCCTTTTACTGAGTCCACAACCTTTCTGAACAATCTGCCTAATGGCTTGTGAACTACAGGCTGGTGGAGATAGGAACTGGTTCTGGTCTTTGTAAACTCCAGGTCTTCCTCCTTCACTTCTGTTGGGTGCTCTCCTCTCGAGACTGCAGTCGTTTCCTTGCATGTGCTGTGCAGACTGGTGCTCAAGTAGTGACGTGCGCAGCTTTGTGAGACCTGACTTCTCTCTGTACGTCAGATGCGAGCCATTTTCTTCCCGCAGACTCAGGTTCCATCTCTTCAGCTCAGACTGGCTACAAATCCTGCCAGTTTTTCTCCCCATGGTTTTTTTAAGTGGGCATTCCATTTCCATTGTTCCAGAAATTTTCTTTTCTGTTGTATTTCTTGACCCTTCTTATCAGATACCAAGTAACCTTAAGTTCCAAGTCTTTTTCCTGTTGTTTCTTTTAATCTATACTGTTTTAACCACTTTTTTTTTTTTTTTTTTTTTTTTTTTTGCCAGCGATTCTAGATTTTGGTAGCTCTGTAACAAAGGTTTTTCAGCATTAGTGCTTGAAACCCTAAGCACTGGGCTTGGTGTTTTTGCAGAAATATTGTTTCCAGATTTAAAGCTTATAACAACCTTTTCAAATTAAAAATTTATTATAACGAACTTGTAAATAAAAAACATCACATAGAAAAATTAGCCAGGCCCAAACTCTATACATCTCAACTAACTTCTTTAGAACAGCCATTCTAAAATTGGGGAACTTCACATTGGATCTTACGCTCCACTTATCAGCTATGTTTGTTTATACTTATCCACTAGAAAAAAAATTCATTACAAATATAAAACTAGGAAAACAGATTTAGATCCTCGTTCATGATTCTTGAATCTTTTACCTTAGCTATGCTTTTGAACCTTAGGTCCGTCATGCTAATTGTGTTGGTGGTACAAAACTGAGTATTACTTGCTGATTTGCATGAGCCTTTATACCTTGGACTCCTTTTGCTGTTCCCCTTTATGCTGCATCCTGAGTCCTAAAGCATCTTTCAGCTGGTGTCTTGGTCAGGGTTCTATAGACGGACAGACCTCTAGAGAGAATCTTTATTACAAGAGGGTTTATTAGATTGGTTTACACGACACACTTAGAGTCTTCCAAAGATGGCCATCTCACACCTGTGCCCTGTGAGCTGCCTTTCAGCTGATTCCAGGTCCAGTTGACAACCGAGATTAAACATCATAGTTTTTCTAAAGTCACCTTGTGTAGGCTACAGTTATACGGCCATATTAACATATACCATGTAGTATATCATATGTATTACTCTTAAGTGTATAAATCTTATTTTTATTTTATGTGTGTGGGTGTTTTGCCTGAATGTACTGTATGTCTGAGAATCTTTTGGTAGCTGGTGTCTGCAGAGGTTAGAAGAAAACATCACATTCACTGGAGATCTGAAGCTAGAGTTACAGATGCTTGTGAATCGCTGTATAGGTGCTGGGGAATGAACCTAAGTTCTTTGGGTGGGTAACTAGTGCTCTTAATTGTTGAGCCATTTCCCTAGTCCCTGTGCTCATGTTTTATTACCAGATATTCTGATGACTCGAGACTATTATTTTTTGCCTTTCTAAATTTTATTTAAATTATTTTATCCAGGATTATTTGTAGAAAAGAAGTATTAGTTGTCTGCTTATGATATAAACTCAAAGGCAAAGTTTTCTTAGACTGTTTTTTACCTTTTAGCCCATATTTTTATTTATCTTGTGATTTATTTTTATATTAGCTTTTAGCATGAAACGGTTGGTTGGATAGTAGAAATTAAAGCTGCCAAACAATGAATTATTCTACCTTTGAGAATTGTTTCTCTATATTTCTTTTCTCACAGAACATACCGTAGGAGAGGTAATTAAGTTAGATTCTAATGGCTCTCCAAGAAAAGTCTGGGGGAAAAGCCCTACAGATTCTGTCCTGAAGATACTAGGAGAAGCTGAACTCTAACCCCAGACAGAACTACTAGAAAACACAGCTTTTAAAAGTGGTAAGCACAAGAAGTAGTATTATTAAAATTAATGTGTTAAGGTGTTTCCATTTTCTTGTGTGGAATTAGTCTACCTGTCCACCTTCAGGGGGTTGGTTGTTCTAAATAGTAATGGTTTCTGCCCTTGTCAGACCTGGATGAAATCTAAAGAATAGGAAATCTGGATGAGGGAGGTGGAAAAGTCCAAGCATGTTTTCCATTAGGGAAAATGTTGAAACAGTTTATTAAGATTCATGGTGTATTTGTGAAGAGATTCGGGAGTTAAATTGAGTAGAAAAAAATGTCTGTAAGTATGTGTGACATCATTCTGGAACTGAGATGGAGTGCTGACACAGACAGGAGGGAAGACATTCTGGATTCCTGAGTCTTAGGTGTTTGGGTGTTAGAGTATCACCTGAGGAAAAGCAACTGTGTATACAGAAGCCTTCCCAGTGGACAGCTTGTTCACAAGACAGAGAGTGGATGAACAGTGTCCAGACATGAACAGTGCCTAGGCATGCACGTTACCTTTTGCATTTTTTTCTGTTGCTCCTCGAGATTGAGCATGAACTCATAGCTGAAGCATATGAAAAGTTGACTTAGGACATAGGATCCTGACATGTTCTGTAGGAGTCAGCTAGAATCTGAGAAATAGACTGTGGAAAGAGCCTGTGTACATTCCTAACAGGCTAAAGTTAGCTCTTACGAAAGGTGAATCTCCTTGTCGTAGGTCATGAACAGTGTCCTCACTGACTTGCCATTGAAAAGTCTTACCACTTTAACATCACCACACGCAGACACAAGTACCTGCAGGGACACTTGACTATCGGGATCCAAACCATCAAAAGAGATCATTAAAATTGAGGTCACTTCACAACAATGTCTATTGTTCTCCAATCATGTCAAGCAGGCATGTGTAGAAATTGAATGAATTCAGGGTTTTCCAGTTGAGTACAGTGAAGTGTGTTCAACAAGCTGAGAGTGTATGCAAAGGAATAATTCTAATGATGACATTTATAAGGATGTCAATGGGGATGGACAATGGGGAATGTTAGAACCAGTCATTAAACGTACTTGCAAAATCAAACTTTTTTGAGATTATAATATTTCATGCTCCCTTTTTTCTAACCCTCTCGATATACCCTCCTCTCTCTGCTTCAAATCCATGAAAAACGAAATTTTTACTGAGCTAGAATAGTGCCAGGCATGATGGTCCATGCCTTTAATCCCAGCACTTGGGAAGCAGAGGCAGGCAGATCTCTGAGTTCAAAGCCAGCATGATCTACATAGGGAATCCAAGCCAGCAAGGGCTACATGGTGAGACCCTGATTCAAAAAAGCTATATTAGAGGGAGATGAATAAAAAACACCACTAAAAATTAGATATGGGAATTCCTAAAATTGGAACTTTTAAGGAGCCATAATTTATAATGTTTCTAATATATGATTTATTAAAAAGCTGAGTTAGTGAGGTAGTTCAGTGAACTGTGAGATTTACATATTAGCAGGATTATTTATTGTATATATAAAATCATCCACCTATGACAACATTGATTTGGGGGAGTTGGGGCACTGGCTTGTAAACAGTCACACAGGAATGAGGAGAGTCAATGACTACAGTCAGTTGTTTTATGATCAATCTTTTCCTGGAAACAGCCACAGTGTGCAGAGTTTGTAGCAAACTAGAAGTAAATATCATATGAAAAACTACATGTGAAAAACGAAGCTATATGAAAACAAATAGCTTTTAAAAGTTGGTTAGTAATTTTAAAATTCAATTCTGATACAGGTGTATTAATTTTTCCCCAAAAGGAAGAATTCAAATTGTGTTATCCACCTTGAAGGTCATTATGAAATGAAATTTGGCTGCCACATTTTCTTAACTCATTAGTTTCTAGTGTGTAAAAGAGCTTCACCTGATGCAACAATCTAGGGTTTGTTTTTGGTTTTTTTGGCTCTAAATATCATTGCAAGTAACTTCAAAACCTCTTGAGAGCAGTAGACTTTTCGTTGTTTTGCTTCTACAGAGATTTATCCTGAAGGCGAAAACTACAAGCCCTTAATTGTTGGAGAAGAGAAACCAGAATGTACTTCAAAAGAAATAAATCCATCAGGTACTGTTGATTCTGTTGAAACAGAAAGCCCAAAGTTTAGTGAGGTGCCTCCACCAACGTCAGAAGGAAATGTGGAAGGTATGTTGTAATGCATTTAAATGAGCTAAATTTTAATTAGTATTGAATCATTGAAGAAATTGTCAAAATTTGTGTGTATGTTTGAGTAATTCATCTCAAATTAGGCTCACTAATTTTAGTAACTATCTCCCCCCCCCCCCCCCCGTTTTTGGTTTTGAAGACCAAGAGTTTTCAAGGGTTGCGTTAGGAGGGTCGGGCTGGTCTCCTAGAGTGCAGAGTCCCGCTCTCGCTGCTGGTGAGAGCTACGGGCATATAGGACCATGCGTCCTAGTTACTGACCATTCTATCCCATTATTTTATGGATCAGGGTTGAGTCAAGACTGGGATTGTGATTTTCCTAGTACATTGTCTTTGCCTAAGAGGCCAAGCGATGTGATACTCAGCTGTCAGTGAGACGACGTGATCATTTTTCTGCCGTCTTGGAAGGTAAACCTCAGAAGCCGAGTGTGACAGGCCCCTCTCTGTGTTTTGAGGAACCTCAGTCACATTCTGTATTCTTCCTACCTTTCAAAATAAAGCTTTTATTATTTTATGAACATGGGGGTTTACCTGTTTGTATGTCTGGTGCCTGCCTAAGCCAGAAGATGATGATGCAGCTGAAGTCTGAGATGATCGTGAGTCACCACGTGGGTGCTGGGAATTGCACTTGGGTCCTTGGGAAAACACCCAGTGCTCTTCACAGTCGAGCAGTCTCTCCAGCACCTGTTTTTCATAGCTTATATGATTTTATTCTCTGATGACCTGGAGGTTCCGATGTGGGGGAAATAGGATTCACCTCTGAGAGGAGAAGGTCTTAAAGAACCTACAGCCATCTCAGGTGCTACATTAAAAGCTGTGTATGGTGTGTATGGTTTTTTGTTAGTTTGATTGATTTTTTTTTTTTTTTTTTTTTTTGCTGTGTGTGTTCTTTAAAGTTAACCAGAGAACTGAACTGGGACCATTAGCACTTCTATTGGTCAGAGCTGTCACAAACCCAGAGTGTGCCCAAGGTAGGGAGCTAGGCCTGCCTCTCAAAGGGAAGAGCATTAAAGAATCTGCAACCATCTTTAACCTACCAGCCTGCTCATTAACTAAAAATACTACATTCTTTCCACAATAATATTGATATTTTAGTGTCAAAAAATTGCCATGGGTTTTTTCTGAGCTAAATAAACTTCTTTATGATGCTTTGACTTCCAGATACCAACCAGAGGCTGCCAGTTTCCTAAACATTCAGTCGTGAATAGGAATAGCATCACTTCCATTGTGCTCATTAGATAAGGAGACTGTCAGAGACTGTGTCCCATGCAGCATGTTCACCACAGTAACCCATTGCGTTCACAGAGCATAGTTAGTCATGTGGTACAGAATGATGTCTCTTCCTCAAAAGATGTGTATGTTGGCCTCATGAATGGCATTAATTTCCTTCTAAGAAAAGGCCGGAAAGTCAGCCTTTGTTCTATATCATGCTGAAAATACATGAAGAAAAAGGCTGTCAGTGTACCTGGAGGAAAACCTTTCTCCAGAACTGACTGTGCTGGGATCCTGATGCTAGATTCTCTTGACTGCTGAAATGAAGAGAAATAAATTTCTCTTCAAGTCACCAGTCTGATACTTTATCATAGTATCCCAAACAAGGTAGTATGTTGTACCCTTCTTAAAAATTAATAATAAAATATTTAAAAGATAAAATTAACCAGCAGGATGAGTGTGCATATAGTAGAGAGTTTATAGCCTAGTTTTGAGGTTGGCAAGCTTCACTTTTCCTACAGAGTTGTGGAGTAAATATTTTAGGCTTTATGGAAACCATGGTCACAAATTGAGTTTAGAGGATAGAATGTTAGTTTTGATAGAGCTGAAGATCACTAGGGAATTGTTAAATAGTGAACCTACCCCTTTAAGAAGCTGATCTCTCTAAGAAGTCCATCCCACAGCCTGGAAAAACCAGGCCTTGCTCCCCTCAGCTCTTTCTCTGGGACATAGAGTTAAGAAGCTATCTGTGCTGTGGATCTACCACCCCTGATTTATAGTGCTACACTGTAGCTGGCTCCTTCGTGCTCCCTGTCAGTGGGCTGTGTTGAACAAAATCATGTGATATGGAGCTTCATACCAGCCCCTGGAAGGATATAAAGGTCATATATTTTCCTGTGTTTGTAGAATTTCTCTAAAATTGATCCCCTCCCATCATTCTGTCCATGACAGCTGTCTCTCTGGTTCTTTAAGCTGTGCCTCTTACTAAAACTCCTTTGTGGGTTCTAAGGGAAAGCTCTCCTCCATCAGGCCTTCTCCTTCCTGTTGTCTGTTAGAGGGCACTGTCCTGCCTCAGAGTGACTGCGTCTCTGTTATCTTAAGGCCGATAAAACTCTCCCAAAGGAAAACTTGTGTCAGCTTCTTTCTAGAAACAACCAACCCATTGCCACCTCCTTTTCTCCCTCCATTTAACAAGAACAGAATTACACATTAAAAGACAAAATAAAAAGGTTCTTCTATCTTAGTACATACCTTGTATGGATGACCCAAACATTCATGTGAGCAACAGATCAAAATTAGTATTTGCATGTCTCTTGTCTTTCACAATAGGGCAAATCATTAGAAATTTGAAAATAGATAAGAAAAGCATATCTGAAGTCCATGAAAAAATGTGCATGGTGTTGAATTAAGGAAGAAAGTATATGATCTCAGACAGGAAAAATAGAAGTCTCAGTGGGACTGAAGAGAGGACTCAGCAGCAAAGCACTTGCTGCACAGTTATGCAGACCGGAGTGTGAATCCCAGCACCCCATGTCTGCCATTCTGCAAGCACTCATAACTTCAGCTCGAAGGGATCGGGCTCTTTTCTAGCCTCTACATATATTTACACATACCTTGCATATGTGCATACATTCATGCAGACATATACATGCACATATAAATGGACAAATAGACTCTCTTTAAAGACGGCCAGAAAAATAGTTTCCTAGCTATTAATTATTTGAGGGTATAAGAAAATTGATTTAGCATACTTCAGTTTTCTCAAGGCCATTGTAAAAGTCCAGGTAATCATATTGGTTTTCTTTTGTGGTTGTTGGAAGATTTCCAAGATTAAAGTTTCTTTACTAAATATTAATAATACAGTCTATTTTCTCATACTTGTAACAACAGGTATCTTTAGTCTTTAGTTTTGATTCCTTTATGCTGATTTACATATTGCTGTAGTTTTAATAAGGCTTATATCTTTTTTCTTTTTCTTTTTTCTTTTTTTTTTTTTTTTGAGGCAGGGTGTCTCTGTAGCTTTGGAGCCTGTCCTGGAACTAGCTCTTGTAGACCAGGCTGGCCTCGAACTCATAGAGATCCGCCTGCCTCTGCCTCCCGAGTGCTGGGATTAAAGACGTGCACCACCACCGCCCGGCATATACCTTACATAATAATGAATATTGTGCACAGTACTCAAGTATTTTTGTTATACCAAAAAAAATGAAAGGCCTAGTCTTTCATTTTAGGAATGACTGTGCTACAGAACTAGCCCAGAAAGCTTTAAACAGTTGATTTTCTTGAGTTAAACTAACTGAAATAATAACTTACAGAAAGTTAGTCAGCCCATTCTCAGCAAACTTTACTCTGACATCTCCTGATCTTGCTTTGCAGAACCTGATGATTTGGAGACAGAAGTTCTCCAAGAGCCAAGTAGCACAGACACAGATGGGAGTTTGCCACGTGCTGTTAATGATGTGTGGATTAGTGAGGAAGAAGAAGCTAAGGAAACTGAGTATGTTGTCTTTTTCTTTACTTTTCAAAGCCAGGTCCCTTTGGTAAGCTCTTTAATAAGTAATGCTGTATTAACTAATGTTGTAGTTTAATAACTTCATATTGTAGTACCCCCTATAAAGTAATTTGATTTCTTAATAGATATTAGCATGGGACAGAAATAAAAAACTATATGAAGATAAGCAGTAAATGTCTTGCCAGCCTTTATTCCCATTCAACCAATTTCTGATTTTTCTCTGCAGATAATTTTTATTATATATAAACAAAATACATAGTCTTTTCAAATACAGTTGCTAATATATACAATGCTTATTAAAACCTTTTCAGTTTTTTAATATGTGTTTGTGTGTCTTTGAAAGTGTATGCTCACATGTGTGTGCACAGATAAAATATGGAGGCAGGAAGCCACACTGAATCCCTTGGCGCTGGACCTGTAGTTTTTATGAGCTGATCCGTGTGTGTGCTGGGATCCAAACGCTGGTCCTTATGAAAGAACAGTCAGTGCTCCCTCTTAACCACTGAGCAAACTCCATGCTCACTTTGTTTATAAAGTCGGTAGTCAGCAGTTAAAAAGGGCTTACTGCTCTTGCGGACCTGGGATTGGCTCCCAGCACATACATGCCAACTCATAGACCCTGTAACTCTAGTTTCAGGGTATCTGATTCCTCTTCCCTCCTTCAAGGATTCCTGTGCACATGTGATGTACACACACATACACATACATATAGAACAAATACTTTTTTAAAAAGTTTGTAGTCTGGGAAATTTTCTCACATTAATTGAAAGTTCTCTATTTTATATTCTATTATATGGATATAAGAAAACTCAATAACTTACTACTTGATGAATATTCATGCTATGTATTGTGATGCTGCAATGAATAATGTTTTACATAAAATATTTTTGCAAAATCAGGTGGTTTTTTGAAGCAGAGATGTGATATTTAGATGAATTGCATTTGTAATTTAGTCATTCTTTAGAGTTTTGACCAATGTAAACTTTCAGAATGAATGAATATTAACTAATGATTAGTGATTGGTAAGAGTTTCACTTTGCTCAAAGTAGAAAACACTGTACTTAAAGAGGAAGTATTATATTAAGATTAGAAAATCATTTGGACAGGGGAGTTCAGGATGCTAGTAGATGTGGATTTCATTTTCTTTATATAAAAGGGCTTTTATTTCTAATAAAACTGCGTGGTATTTATTTTGTTTGGTTTGTCTGTCTGTGGCAGGTTGGAAGATAAGGTTGTTGAGCAGCAGAGTGAGGTTTGTGAAGGCAGCATTCCAGGGAATGTGGAGCAGTCTCGTGAGAATCATATAGGTAAGTGCCACTGTAGGAGTCTAACTCTTTCTGGACGGCTTCTTAACACCAGCCTGTCTCATTTGGGCACCATTATAAGTCGTCATTATTCTATTTTAAAATAGGCCTTGAAACTAGGAACCTGTACTAGCTGGCCCGGGATTGTGGTAATATAAGCAGTTAACTTTTTGGTAAGTTGTATTGTTGAAAATGAAAAGAATTTGCTGCTAAAACAAAGCAATATACCAAAGACACTGAGTAAACTGGTATCTTTTTAAAATACTGTTGTTCAAAATATAACACAATATAAACAATTTTTCTCCTCTATGAAAACGAACAGAAAAATTGATTTTCTAAACTGTATTTTTACATTTCTTTAGATTTCTTTATTTTAAAACTTCTAATATAATAAAGATATATATGAAATTAAAATGTTATGTCTCCTTAATGGTTATTTTTAAGATAGTATACAGTATACTTATATGTATACTTTGATTTTGTTTTCCTGGTATGAGTTTTTTTTAATTCATTTTTAATTAAAAAATATTTTATATGGCTGAGTGTTTTGTCTGCATATAAGTAGTATTTGTTCCACATTTGGTCATGGTACCCACAGAAGCCAGAAGAGTATAGCAGGTCAGATTCTCTGGAACTGAAGTTAAAGATGGTTGCGAGCTGCTATGGGAGGTCCTAGGAGCCACACCCAGGGCTCCTGCAAGAACAGCAAGTGTTTTAGCACCAAGCCATCTCTGCAGATCTTAGGATGGGATGCGTGTTAAATATTATATGATACTTGCTGATATTTTTAGAATTTTAAGTGCTATTCTATAAATTTATGATATAATCTCTTTTTATTCCACAGAGCCTGCAGTAGATGATTCTCAGCAGTCCAGATGTGACATAGAGAAGTCAGTACCGCCAGAACCATTCTTCCAGAAAGTGGCTCAGTCTGAGTACTTGAGCGTAGTTCAGTCAGAACCAGTTTCACTCCGATCTCGCTCTGATTCACCACCAAAAACTAAAACCAAGAACTCCTTACTGATTGGGCTTTCAACTGGTCTATTTGATGCAAACAACCCAAAGGTAAGTGTGGTCTCATTTGGATGATGCTGTCTCTCCACTGATAGCATTGCCCGATGGCCAGTACTGGCTTTTAATTGATTCAAAACCCAAACAAGTACAAACAAAAGCAACAGAATGTCCCGACTTTACTGGATATTGGCTAAGGCTCTTTTTAGTGGTGCTAACAAATAGCTTTGGAGCTCTGGTTCTCTCTCAGTAAATATCCTACTTGGGGAATAAGACAGAGTTTATAGCAGGCACTCCGAGTTGCTCGTCTGAGGAATTGTTTTCTCAGCTACCATTCAATGTTACCACACATCAGGTCCCACAGCAAATGCCAATACCTCCAGCCAAAGGATGTGGCTGTTTCGGCAACCTTGATGTTCCTGTGATTCTGTTGAGACGGGCCAGAGGAGAGGTGTAAGTCCTTTCCTGATAGTTCCTTGGACTCCTGCACACCACTCTGGCTCTTGTGGTTTTCACTCTTTTATGGGCAGCTTCATTCTACAAGTAGGACTGTGTGGTGCAGAGTGGATACAGCTTCCATCTGGATTCTCTTAGCTCCTCCGCCTGCTTCCCTGCAGAGCTCTCCTCTGGATTTGTAAATTCATTTGCCTACTTTACTTATATGTAATTTTACATATGTATACCTACCAAAATATGTCATGTATATTGTTTGTGTAGCTCTTTTTATTGTGTATATTGCAATATTACAGATATTGTTTTGATTGTTTTGATATTATTAACAATAAGTATAACTTAAAGTCTCTTTTCCCATTAATTGTTGTTAGCATGCATATATATATATATATATATATATATATATATATATATATATATTCCTTAACATAGCCTGCCCAGTCTTGTCTGCTACTTGTATGTATGTTTCAGGGCTAACCTCATGGTATTGAATCACCAGTTGATGTGCTGCTCCCTGGTGAAGACTGCTTGTCTCACTCTCAGTATTCCTTAGTTGCCTGTAGTTTTTTTGTGTAAGACTGAGGCCTAATAGGCCTTTCCTTCTGCTTTGGCATCTCTGTTATTGTTGTTCTTATTCAGCTCATGCTTTAGCAGTCTTACTGCTAAGACATGGGTGTAACTCCTGACATTATTACTAAGAGATGCTATCTTATAGCAAACTCCCTGATCCTCTGGCTCGTACACCTTCCTGTTCCTTCTTCTGCAATGTTCTCTGAGCATTAGCTGAGGGTTGTTTGGTAGGTGTATCCATTGGGGCAGGACTCCATAACTCTGCACTTTTGCTTGTTGTTTTCTGTGTTGGTCTCATTCTATTGCAAAGAGAAGCTTTCTTGGTAAAAAGTAAGGACTGCACTTACACTCTTAGAGTATAAAGATAAACATTTAGAATATACTTAAGGATTATCCTGGTTTAGTAAAGTGGAGAATGTAGGTTCTTCTCCAAGATCCATGACTTCCCTAGCCATGGTTAATTGGCTAGGTTTCCAGTGCCAGGTGTGATTTTCCTCTTGTTTTTTTTTTTCCATAGAACAGACTAGTTGCTAAAATTTACTGCATATTGGTTAAAATATTTCAATTTATAAAATAATTTAACTCTGTATACAAGGGGATACATAATTTCTGTGACATCAGAAACTGCAGGTATAAACTCAATTATAGTTATGCTTTCTCATCAGAATTTCTTGAACTGCCAGTACCCAAATAACAACAGAGACTTACTGTTAAATATGTAACCTTGGCATTTGTCCGAGGTTTGTTTTGATCTAGATACTTACATCTTAAATTAATCTGTTTCTATTAATCTATGTTGTGCCATGTGGCTTTTATGTATCTTCCATTCTGTATGTCCAACATGTTCCAGGTCTCACTGGCACCTAAATTCTTCCACCATACCTTTCTCTCCCTGGAAGTCCCATCTACTATCTCCTGTCTAGCTGTTGGCAATTCAGTCTTTATTAAAGCAATCAAAAGGTTCCTTGACAAAGACATAGCTTTATAGTATACAAGAAGATTATCCCATATAACACAATAGCATCTTTGGAGGTTATTTGCCTCTTAATGTCTCATGAGAGATTTTATCTTTCTTTTACTTTTACTTTTTCATTTTTTAAAGTGTTTCTATTTCACATCTTTAATTTTTATTTATTTTTCCCCCCTGATTTTTATCATACATGCTCTTTGTGTATATATTATTGATGGAGGAAGGTCATTGGTTAAAAAAATAAAGAAACTGCTTGGCTGGCCCTCATAGGTTAGAACACAGGTGGGTGGAGAAAACAGAACAGAATGCTGGGAGGAAGAGGAAGTGAGCTCAGACCCACTGAGACAGTGGAGCTGATCTATTGAGAGCTCACCAAGACCAGCTGGACTGTGACTGAAAAAGCATGGGATAAAACTGGACTCTCTGAACATGGCGAACAATGAGGGCTGATGAGACACAAAGGACAATGGCACAGGGGTTTGATCCTACGTAATGTGATGGCTTTGTGGGAGCCTAGCCAGTTTCAATGTTCACCTTCCTAGATATGGACGGAGGTGGGAGGTCCTAGGTCTTACCACAGGGCAGAAAACCCTGACTGCTCTTTGGACTGGAGAGGGAGGGGGAAAGGAGTGGGGGGAGGGGGAGAAAGGTGGGAGGAGGGGGAGGGAAATGGGAGGCTGGGAGGAGGTGGAAACTTGTTTTTTTTTTCTCCTTCTCTCAATAAAAAACAAAAACAAAAAAAAAAACACAAAACTGAAAGGTATAATATGTAGTAATAAGAGTGGCAGGCCCACGGCTAGCTTTACCCGAAATAACAACACACAAATTGTATTCATGTAAACACTGCTTGGCCCTTTAGCTCTAGCCGTTACTGGCTAATTCTGATATCCCGATCAACCCATCTCTAATAATCTGTGAGCACCGGTCTTACCGGGAAGATTCTAGCCTAAGTCCATTCTGGGTCGGAGCTGAATTGTGTGTGTCTGCCCGGGAGCGGGGCATGGCATCTCTTCTGAGATTTTCCTCTTGTTGAGTGGGTCTTAAGTCTGATTAGCAAGTTGCTGGTTATCGTCAAGGTGGTGCCACTACTGCACCCTTAAAGTTACCGTGCCGTGCTGGTCATTGTTGTTCATAGGCATCATAGCTGGGTATAACTGTTGGGTTTTCCCCTATTTTTGGAAGCTTGCATGAAACGTTCTGGTTCTATGAAAGCTAGTCATCAGAGCAGTTCTTCAGGTCAGTTCCAGCTGAGAGGCATCTGGGCCGTGCTTTAGCAATAGGCACACTCCACCTTGGGACTGGGAGGACAGTCAAGGGCTAAAATGTTTTAGGAGTCAGTCTCTTGGAGAATCCTGACCTGGTGTTGGGAATTCTGTTAGATTACTTGTAACACATTCTTAGCAGTACATTTCTATTATTGGACCTCTGCCTCTATTAATCCTATAATTATTTTCATAAAATAAATTTTTGCAAGTAAAATCCAAAATTTATAATGGCTGAATTATTTCTATTTAAGAAATAGTTTTGTGGCTAGAGAAATTGCTCAGTTAGTAAAGTGTAAGCTTCAACACCTGAGTTTGAACGTCCAGCACCCACGTAGAGCCGGGCAGGGTAGTACCCAGCTGAAATCATAGTGCAGGAAGATCGCTGGCGTTGCTGTTGAGCCAACCTAATCAAATTGGTGAGCTCCATGTTTGGTGAGATCATGACTCAAAAAATAAGGTAGAGAGAAATGTAGGCCTCCTGTTTACACACACGTGCACATGCAAATGAACACATACACACACACAGAATAGGTTTTGTGCTATTAAAATTCATCAAAAATGAATGAAGTATATCCATTTCTCCATGTGCTAAAAAGCACCATTATAATTTACATAAAAGTATCTCTTTAATGAAAAATTAATTGTTTGCTTAAATTCATATTTTTATATCTGAAATTGACTGTTTTGTCTATTTGCCCCTATATATAATTAAATTGCCAGAATTCTTTAATCTTTAACTGTGTTTCAAAATAACATCATTTTGTTTTTCAATCTAGTTGAGTGTCCTTTTTATTGGTAAAGTATTTAATTATGTTTCTCTTAAACTTAGAAATGTTAAATTCTGTTGCTTACTCTAAATAGCAGACATTAGAAGATATAAACTACCAGAATAGTTTTATAGTCTTCAGCATTAAACCCAAAGGCGTTATCAGACATAAGCGCTATCATTATTACTTATGTACTTTCTTTCTATGTGTTATTGTGCACGTGTGTCTGTAGGCACCAGTAGTCAAACTCAAGGCATTGTTCCTTAGACATTGTGCACTTTGGTTTTTGAGATAGCGCCTCTCATTGGCCTGGAGCTTCCCAGTTAGGCTAGGCTAGCTCACCACCATGCCCAGGAATCCCTGTCTCTGCCTCTCAGCACTGGGATTACAAGCACACATCACATGGTAAGCGTTTTACATGGGTGCTGGAATCAAACTCAAGTCCTCATGTTTGCTTGGCAAGCACTTTAATCGGAACCATTCGCCAGCTCCCCATGTGCTATCTGTGTAGCTGTCATTAGCCCGAGCTTTTGAATTTATTGCTATTTACTAGGCTAATACTCACATTGTGTGATGCTTTTGAATATTGGTGTCCTCTTAAACTTTAATTGAGCTTTAAAAACTTCTATTTGAAGTGCTTACTCTGGAAGATTTTAGCCACAATGCAGATATCATGTAGATTTCTGTGAGAGAAGAGGCAAGAAGGAAAACAGAAGAAACCTAGCAATCCATGGCCGTTTCAGACTAGAACAAAAGTTTTCACATCCATTCTGAGATCAGGAAAGCCGTCACTGGGCCAGTGTAGTAAACAGTAAGATTGATAATGGTAGTCAAAACTTCATAACTGAACCATTAAAGTAAAAATTATAAGTAATCCATTAAACTAAAATAGTGTGACCTAACTTCTTACAACGATTTTCACTGCTCAATCAGGTCTTTTTGTATTAAGTTAAATTACTTGTGTCCTGTTTCTAACAAAGTCTTCTCTCACCCACTTGCCTTCTCAGGGGCTTTGCTCCATTGCTTTTC